ATGGTTAACGATAGAAAGATGACATTATTTCTATTATAGGTCATCGTGTGCTACATTTCATTTAAAAGGTTATGGATGAAATAGAACTAATTTTAAAAGGTTATGGATGGATTCGGTTTTTTTTTATAAGAATGTTAGGCCTCATTAAAAACCCCCTTCATGATTAATGGAGCTTGAAGACAGTTCCTTAATCAGCGGAAGGAGGAAAAGAGTGCCCTAGGATTTCATTAACATTATAAATAGTACATAGGAATACAACACCCTAAAATTCCCTTAAGGAGATAGAAAACCAAAAAAAAATCCCTAAAGAACAACATAAGAATCAACCAATACTAGCCTTAGCTAGGGAATCTGCCTCTAGATTAGCTGTCCTATTAACCCATCTAATAACACCTTCACAATCTCTAAGCTGTTGAATAATGTCTTTAACAATGTGAGCGTAAACATCAGGACATAAAACATCCTTAACCCAGTCAATTGCCACCCTGCTGTCACTCTCAATAATCAAACGATCCTTAAATCTCTGTCGAATAGAGTCAAAAAAAGATAACCTTTTAGGATAGCTTTCAATTCCATGTAGGTAGGAGGCCCCAGACCAGCAGACTCTTTGAAAGAGCCTAGGATCGAACCAGACATATCTTTTAGGACACCGCCTATCCCGCTTCTCTTCCAATCACTAGTAGTAGCAGCATCGACATTTAGTTTGATGAAGCCCTTAGGAGGAGGGGACCAAGGAAACTTAGATAAAATCAGATTAGAGTGGGGCAAGCATGAATCCCCTAAGGAAGGATCAACAATAAGAGAATCCTTGGAGATAGAAGCCTGATTATTTTTTGCTAAAAACCATGAGGCAAGCCTAAACCTTGCTATAAAGAAGAGTTCAGCTCGATCTAGCTTCCCTCCTTAAAACACAATAGAATTCCTTGTTTTCCATATTGTCCATAGGACCACTCCTGGAATGAATGACCATGGATGGATTCAGTTATCCCATTTAATTCTTGTATAAGGACCTCTTCACTCTCTCACCGCTAAATTATCTTGTGGGGAACTTATTTTATCTTCTCTGACTAGTATAGTATGTGGGTTAGATCGATATAATTAAGTTTCATGGATTTGTTATCAATAAATGTCGAATTTCATTTCATATTTTGTTATTGATTTAGGTGGACCTATGCAGATCCATCATGGGCTCGCATTGCTGCACTTGTTCCAGTTGCTGTCTCTTGTGCAGAGGCTGGTGATGAAGTTGCAAATAAGATTTTGAAAGAGGCTGTTCAAGAGTTGGTTTTAAGTGTGAAAGCTGTTGTTCAGAGGCTTGGATTGTGTGGTGCAGGTATATGTATCTAGCTAAATCTACAATAGAGGAGAGGTTTTTTTTTGGTTGAATTATTTATATATATAGAAGCAAAGCATTCTTTGTAGTGTCAAATAATATAGTAATGATAAATTTTAGCACAGATATTTCACTCTAGCAGAAAATGTCAATATATGGTGAACATATGATTATTTGCTATACCTTTCAGATATAATGAAATTAGATTTTACTTTGTAGGCCTCAATGAGATATCATGCAGTTATTATGAAACACAAAATGAAGGGTCTATTCTATTTTCTTGACAAAAAATTATTGGTCTTTGAATAAATTATTGTTTAGTTTATGTTATAAGGGCCATTGTCCAGTGCCCATCTTGTGCTTGCAAACGCTCAATTGCAGCTTGAAGTTATATAGCCTTGTAATGACCACACTTTTTTTTGGTCACAATCTTTTACAATATCTTTTTGACACGCTAAGCATCTTCTTAAATTCCATGGGCCATTTACATAAATGTTGAATCTTAATCTACTTGGCTTAATTGGCTCACTTCATATGCTTCCAAGTATAACGATAGAAAGTAGTTTTCTGTTTCTTTTTGTTTGATCCCTTTATTTATATGGCAACTTGTTTTGCTTGTTTGAATGAGCATTTACCCAAATATTTGGTCCATTCTTATGGTCACTACTTGCTAGTGCTGTGATCATCAGAACTACTTTGTTGTTGCAAACGGGCAATTGTGGACTTTTCATCTTTTACAATATCTTTTTGACACGCTAAGCATCTTCTTAAATTTCATGGGCCATTTACATAAATGTTGAATCTTAATCTACTTGGCTTAATTGGCTTACTTCATATGCTTCCAAGTATAACGATAGAAAGTACTTTTCTGTTTCTTTTTGTTTGATCCCTTTATTTATATGGCAACTTGTTTTGCTTGTTTGAATGAGCATTTACCCAAATATTTGGTCCATTCTTATGGTGACTACTTGCTAGTGCTGTGATCATCAGAACTACTTTGTTGTTGCAAACGGGCAATTGTGGACTTTTCAAGGAATAATGTATAGCTTGGAAATCTGTCCCTTGATAGCTCTGCCACTGGTTGATTAAATTATGGCAGCTGAATTTATTTCTATGCATCAATCTTTGCAGATGGAAAAAGTTAGTTTCCTCTTGTTATGGTTGGCGGAGTTCTTGAAGCAAACCAGAGGTGGGACGTCGGAAAAGAAGTCATGAACTTTATCTCCAAATGCTACCCCGGGACCCTTGCAATTAGACCTAAGGTAAGAACAATTTAATATAGTCGAAGTGCTCAGTACAGATGGCTTCCACCTTTTTTATATTTGAATTGCTGCCAGTTTTCTTTTGGCCACCTCAATTACAAAAATAATCACATGTTCTTGCTACTAAGAAAAGTAGAAATCTAAAGGAGATGCGAAATGCAAAAACTGATGTTTAGGAATAAATAGGAGTTAAGATCGAATTGCCAGAACTTACAAAAATATCACCATCTTACCACTATTGTTTGATAACTAATTGTTACGGATTACAGTCTTATTTGCTATGCCTTGACATGGATTTGGGATGGGGCAGGTTTAAGCTGGTCTGCTTCCTGCATAACTTCTCACCCTACAGTGATCGATTATACCCTGCCAATCTTTTGCTTGAAATACATATACCTGACACCCATGCCTGACACATAATTGGAGTAGAGTCTGGGGATGACCCTTCAAAGACTCCAAGGACCCACCAAATACATTGAACATACCCGTGTGATATGTACCCATATTCAACATTCACTCCAAATCCGAATAACATAGGTCGTTTGTCTGGAAGTGTACCACATAGTATCATAGATGACAGACCTGCAGATAATAGTTCTTTAGTGCAGGGATGTGTAGGGTGGATGTTCTCGTGGCAAATTCAAAATACAGTGTTTTCCATAAATAATAGCTTACTTTTAAGCTTTTCTTGTATGCATTTCAGGTGGAGCCTGCAGTTGGTGCAGCATTGCTAGCATTGAATGATTTCATGAAAGAAAGTGTCGAGGAAGCATACTGAATATGATCATTCGGATTTCAATTGTACAGCAACAAGGATAAACAAAGAGAAAAACTAAGTGGTCAAGGGCATTAAGCATATTTCATCGTTTTGGAATATTTATTAGGGCATTGTAAGATTCCCCTGGCATACAGTAGATTTGGTATTCCATGTCAAAGGTGTATAAGTATATGAATAGAGAATTGTAAAAGAGCAGTGGAACCATGTACTGCAATGTGATTTGTTTTGATGGTGCACAATGCAATGGCTATCTGTGACTCCCATATCAAATCACTCTTTATCTCAATTCCGTTGATTATGTTGCAGATAAAAGATTGAAGGAAATATCGAGGTGCCGAAGCCATTGTTGGATTACACCATTGACGACATTCAACAAGCTCAGTGAGTAGGACGTCAGCATGATCGAGGACGTCCTCTTGCGCATCCAGGTGTGGTTGAGTGGGTCCCTTACCAGCCCAAAGATTTGTGTAGGCTTGTTCGCGGAGCCGGAGAGAGACGACGAGGCCATTGAGAAGAAAAATATCTTGAAAACGACATAGGAAGAAAACCCTCGGCATCCCCAGCATGGGTAAGATCACCACCTCACTCCAACGTAGGCTCTTGTCGGATGAGGACAAGGATTTCCCCGAATGGATGAGCCTCAACTTTTGGCAAAATTGGTCGATATTAAGCCTAACGTGGTGGTTGGTTGCTAAAGACGAAAGTGGAAAATAATCAGCATCGACGATGCCTTAGCTCAAGTTCCACCCAAGAACACCCCAACGATTTGTTATTTACGCAACCGCTGACGATTTTTTTCATTATTTTTAATCCATATTCATTTATTCACATAAAAAAATAAAAATTAAGTGATGATGTGGTGCATTTCGATCAGTCATCAACTTTTTTAATGGAGTTAACGTAAAGGGCAACGATCTAAACTTTAGGAACAAAATATAGCGGAATATACTTTAAAAACAACTGGGTACAACGTGCATAGATGGCATAGATGATGGGGTAAGGGCAATATTTTATTTTTCAGAAAGCTCATCGGTTTTTCAATACACAAATTGTGATTGGCCATGACAGGGCAGGGCAGCTGCTAGGTGTGGGCTCAACCTATTCGGACCATCAAGTAGTTTGATACGTAGTAGGCAATATGTTTTGTGCCCAAAAAAAAAACCAAACTCAATTGAACGCTGAAGATGCCATGTTGTATAAGAACATTTCTGCAAGTGATCAAAATTTTGTAGAAGATAGAATCTCACAAACAAGTGGTATATTTCCACTTACAAACGCTCTTCTTGTTTAATCTTAGGCAACATTTATTCATTCATTAATGAATGACAATCATGACTTACTGTAGCTTAGCTCTAAGTAATGCACAATGGTTGATGAGTTTAGTGATATATATTGTATTGGACTGCGCTCTTATGTACATTCAACTGTTTTGGCATAAGTACGAATCGAGCAACCTCGATGGTAAAAAGAATTATTATTATTCTTTGAGGTCCCGAGTTTGAGTATCAAAAATGTTAAGAGTGTGTTATCTTTAAACATATATTGCCTATGTAACTTTGTGTAAACATCAAAGGATTAAGATAGAGGCTTCGATATCGAAATGAAGGCCAATGACTTGCTACAAAACAAAATTATCAATAGCCATTAACAATAAAAAATACAATCATATAATTATAACATGGCGAGTAACTATGCATAACACCTCTGATATTCGGCCAAAACTCTACATAGTTGAAGCCGGTGAAATACTTTCATGGCTGAGGAACCGTACCAGGAGACAAAATTCCAGGCTTTACATAGCAGAATATCCCAGTATGCATCAATTGCTTCCTTTTCTCGATGACAATCACCACTTCAAAAAAACTATCATTGTCCCCTTTTTTCGTGCAATACGGCCTCCTCGATGTCGTCTTCTTCGTCAAGAAACCTGGAAAACCCGTTCACCTTAGTCTCCATACGTCCTACAAGTTGGTTTGCTTCCTTTTGTTCATCCACAGTTTTTGCCAAAGACAAAAGGATGTTTTTCGCTTTCTGGTCGGGCGGAACACCATAAGATTCCATTTCTTTATACCTAACGACACCACTACCAAAATCCCTATTCTTCCCGTATGCATCCATGAGAGTGGTGAAGATGGTTTGATTTGCTTTGATACCGCTTAACCGCATTTCTTCATACGTCTCCATCATCTTTTCAAGATTGTTTACTTTGGCATACCCTTTCATCAGCGTCCCATACGTGACGATATTGGGTCGAAGTCCATCTTGTTTCAATCTTGTGAAGAAATTTTCAGCACCCTCCATATCAGATGCATTGATATAAGCTGATAGCATGGTTGTATAAGAACAGATATCAGGGGTATATCTGCAATGAAGTACAAAGAAAAAGTTCAATGTTTTGGTACTGAATCGGGAGCGAAAATGGCATTCGTTAGAAGGTTCTATCGGATTAAAAAAGATGGGATATTTCTCTAATTTTCGTTGAAAATAGAAGTTTGAAAAAAAAAACATAAAGTGGGCATCAAAAGGAAGACAAACTAAAGCAATAATAAGAAAATGAAAGCATATATTATGAATTGCCTTGGACAGAAGAACTCAAAGAAACACGGATGAATCTGATTTCGGATGAACTCAACAACAATTCCCAATCGAATTTAAAGTGATCTAAAACTCTTAAAAACCAAGGATTTTCATGAGCAACTTTCCAAGGCAGAATCACTGTGTGCATGATCAGATAACATCATTTACTACAACACATAAGGGCTCAGATAGAATTTGAAGACTCAGAAGCACGGGTGATTTGGACTTGAAAGAATTATAGTCAATTGGTATAAAATAGAGTAGCAATTTTTTTATACATGTGATGGAGAAACATAGAGCTTCGAACTATGTCAATTTTGTGATTTGATATAATCTCATTCCTAAAGCTAAGCTCACACATAAAAGCAACTTCCTTTGTTTTTTTTGGAGTAAAATAAGATACCCAAACATAACAACAGAAACCGTTCATGACGAAAAGTCACTACAGTTGCTTGACTTTGAAATCATTATAACACTTTACCTGTCTCTTCTCATGCTTTTGAAAACAGCCCGAGCTTGCTCAACCATTCCCGAAATTGCAAATGCATCAAGCAAAATATTATAAGACTTGTGAGTAGGCCTGAAAAGTAGGCAGAGTTGTAGAAAGTTTCCGAAAATTAGGAAATTTGTATCATTTAGAAGTTTAATTTATTTATATTTTACGTGAAGGCAGTCAATTAGTGAATGTATTTTTGGTACAAGGTGTAGAGGGGAGTTGAACTTAGACCTTAAACCCTCTAATGAGATGTTAAGTATATGAATTATGGTCATCTATTAATCAGCCAAACTGTTCGGACATGGCCTATACGTCAGAAGCCAAAAAAGAAAAGTACGTCTTTGCTGAATTTACACTTTGTTCTATCTTTTAAGTTACTCTAGCTGCTTAAGTAACTGCATTAGTTTCTAACCACAGTGACTTTAGATTGGATATACAAGTTGAACTTACCTGATTCCAGCATCCAACATCTCCTCAAAAACAGCCAAAGCTTCCTCTTCCCTCCTAGCTTTGCCATAAGCATTAATAAGCAAAGCATAACTCACCACGTCAAGAAGGAGACCAGCTCTTTGCATCTAAAATACAAATTACTACAAACCGTTACATGATTATCGTCCATGGAAGATTGAGAAAGAAACAGAAAGAAACTCAAAAATCAAAAACTGGTTTGACTGTATTTGCTTGCAAGCCACTTGTGAATGCATGATAAACCATGCAATACTGAAAAAATGAGTTTCTTTTTTGCCTTCACATAAAGATGTATTTCAGCATGCATTCATAAAAGATGCGAGGCAAACCAAGCATGTCTTGTTCTTCGTATTTTGTATAGAAAGTTCATTGCACAGAGAGGAGCTTTGAAAGACATACATTACTGTCAAATCAACAAATAAAGAAAAGAAACAGTTAATTTTAATCATTGTCCACGTTTTAGAAATAATCACTAACACCAAAAACATAAAAATCCTTCATCAATTCTTTAAATCACTAAACTCTTCATAACCCTAATCCTTAAATCTAGTCACACAATCATCTTCACCATTAAATATTTATATAAATTGATAGAGAATTTCATGTATATTAATTCTCTATCTAATAACTTAATCCAAAAACTAATCATATAACTTGAAAAATCAAAATAAAAATCTTATCTATTTTTGCAAAGGAGCTTCGGCCAAGGTGAATAACAAGCTGAAAATGGCTTAATTCTCCTGAATATTTTAGTATTTAATGGATAGTACACATGACATTTATCCAATTAATTGAATTTAAAATTCAATTAATGAGAAATTATAAAAATACCATTAATAAATCTTGAAAATTACCAAATTTCATTGTATTATCTTTCAATAAAATATTCCTTGGTCAAAGATGAATCAATTTAACTTTGACTTTCTAATTTAGCTATGCAACTTTTGAAAATTGCATTTTAGTAACTAAAATTCCAGTGTTTGGTAAACTCTGAAAAATTACACTGTTCTAAGCCAAATTTCTTTGATATAAAATATTAAAATAATATTTCAAACCATTTTCTAACATCATTCAAATTTTCGTAAAATTTTGGTTCGATCTGATTATCCGATTTCAATACCGAACTTCATCGCTTTATAGTTTTTAACACAAATCCTTACCGAAAATCTGATTCTCACGAAAATTATTGTTTTAAGTCAAACTTTTCATTTACGGGCTAAAATATATAACTTTTAAAAATTATAATTTCAGTCCTTAAACTTTTCAAAGTTCATACTTTAGCCACTAAACTTTCAAAACTTATATTTTAGTAACTAAACAAAATTTGTGGTATTACACATAGTCCCCGTAGCGACTACAAACACAACGTATGGATTCCTCAGGCTCCTCGATATAATTAATATTTGCCATGGTAGCACGACTGATGGTACTATCGTCAAAAGAGAATGTGTCGTCATGAGAGATGCCGACATCAAACAACTCAAACAAGTGACTGAGATACATCCCATACACAAGATTCAATCGAGCTTTTGATTTGATGACACTCACAATATCATTGAAGATCATGCTAGCAAGGTGGAGCTTGTGACCTTGTTGAATGCAATGCATCCACCAATAGTCACTCTCATGAATCATTGAGAATTTCTTGCCACGAGCACGGATGCAATAGATGACAGATAAGATGAAACAACCATTTGTAGATAGAGAAAAGAAAAGGAGACAAATAAAATGGAGAGAAGAGGCATAAAAAAAGAGAAAGTAAGAAAAATATCAATAATCAGCTCTAAAGCTGCCATCAATGGTGATTGGAGCAAAAAAAAGATTTCATTGAGTGGAAACAAAAAGAGTATGTGAGTAGTTGTTATTACTAAAAATATGTGGGTCAATTTTGTTAAGATAAAATACGCCACATTTCATTTGATTATTAGTATGACTGTATCGAATCATTTAATTTTAAAAAATTATAAACGAATCACTTCATTAATCGATTGTTTGAGCAAGTCATTATTTCATTAAAAATAAAATAGAAATTATTTTTTTAGTTACAATCATGTCACTTAATTTATTAAATGTATCAATCATATCACTTAATTTATCGATTGTTATAATCATATCACTCAATTATAACTAAAAAGTTGACACATTTTGTAATATTTTAAATTTAATAACCTATTTTTAATTGAGTGGTCTGCTATGCATTTTACACTTTTATTAATAAATATATTTGTTAGGATCGATGAAGCTCAAATTGATCATCCAAATAATTTTTTATGAGGGGGTGAATTGTCTTTTTGAGTATAGGGAGTAAGAAAAAAATAAAACAATTTGCACAAGGATTTATAATGGTTCGGCTTCTCAACCAAGTCTACATCTACTACCTAAGCTCCTCACTTAGGATTTTCTAACAAATCTACTAATTTGTTTTTTCTTTTTCCATGACAAAGAGATAACATTTACAACTCCCTAGCTTTTCAAATGCTAAGCTAGAACCACTCCCCTTTTTCAAAGGATAAGAAATGTAAACAAGAAAACCTCACAAAGGTGGTAGGTGTTTACAATAATTAAGCTCACAAGAAAACAATAGAAAGATTTACAGTGAGCTCAAAAACACTTATGTACAAGAGAAAAGGAAAAATAAGAGTGAAAGAGCTTTTCTCTTGATCTCAATTGTTTGGTTAGGTGTTGTAATCTTCTTCAAGTGTCGTCGACTTATTTTTATATGTTGGAATGAGTTTGTGGTTGTTTCAAGTCGTTGGGGATTAATTTTCTCCAAAATAAAACTGCCCATAATAGGGAGTGTTGATATTCATTTCATGAGTATCGGTACTACCTTTATAATATTTAAATAAACTAATTGTTAAAGAACGTTAAGCTTGACCAGCATCAATACTATGCTTCATGGTATCGATACCACTGTGTAAAGTAGCATCGGTACCCCTTGAGTATCGGTACCTGTTTTGCATTATGGAATTTCAGCAATTTGGCAAAACAATTAGTAGTATTGATACTACCTATAGAGTATCGATACTTCTCTTACTTTTGGTATCGATACTTCTCTTACTTTTGGTATCGGTACCACATGAGCAGCATCAGTACTGTTCATGTAATATCGATACTGTAATAACATTATCGATACTACGTACCTAAAAAACTGTTTTATGCTCAAATTCTAGTTTAATAGACTTTTAATTATTTTTGAAAACTTTGAACAAATTTAATCAAGTCCAAAAACATTTTTCCTTAATTTGTTATATTAAAATATTATAAAACATAGTTCAACAATATTTTATTTTAGAATAAATTATTCCATTCCTCACCGAACTATACTATCTCTCATGTTTTACTCACCGTACTTTAAATTTTTCTAATTTACTTATTGAACTTTCGAATTGCTCCTATTTTGCTTACTCTAAATTATTTTATTATTATTTTTATATGATGTGACATTTTTTTATTTAATATAAAATAATTTAAAATATAAAATAAAAACAGAAGGTGAGCGGACACCATCGTCAGCCATCGTCGAACTCTGTAGATGGTAGTTATTCGGTCCTAAATTTCATGGGTCGCTTCTCCTTGATATTGTGAGTCTGAATTCGACCTCTATTTTGTTGGTACTGGCTCCAAAGTCGACTAATTAGAGATTAAAAGTGAGGAAGCCGAAACATTTCAGTCGAGATTCACAGGCTTTGGGATATTTTTTGGTGAAACAATCACCAGATTCGGACTCAGGGGTCGAGGCGAACAAACCCATGAAATTTAAGATCGAACAACCGCTATCTACAACGGTCGACAGTGGTCGGCGGTGACGTCCAATACCTTCTATTTTTTTTATTTTTTTTTATTTTTATTAAATAATAAAAAATATCACATCATACGAAAATGATAATAAAATAATTCGGAGTTAGAGTGATAAAAACAAGAGCAATTTAAAAGTTTATTGAGTAAATTAAAAAAATTAAAAGTATAGTAAGTAAAATAGAAGGGATAGCCAAGTGAGGAATGGTGAAATTTTCCCTTTATTTCAAAAGTTTCATTACCAATACGAACAATCATTCATCACGTCGGCTAGGATCCGATTTGGGTCCGAATATAAATTGATTTGGGAAGTGAAGAGTGAAGGGTGAAGGCAGAGAAGCAGAAAAAGGATGAGTTTAAAACACCATAAATCCAACTCTGCAGCTGCTCAATCTCTCTCCTTTGATGACGTTGCCGATTTCTTCTCTCTTCCTCTTGACGACGCCGCTTCCACTCTTGGTATTTTTTAAATAAATATCTAAGCATTTAATTTGATATTTCAATTCCTTTTTTGTTTATCCTCATTTTCTATATCGATTCCCCTCTCCTCAGGCGTTTCCGCCTCCGTTCTCAAGAAAACCTGTCGTGAAAATGGTCTCGACAGGTGGCCTCATCGCAAGGTAACTCCTCTTTCTCCACTCCATCATTTTTACTTGTTTTTTTTAATCTCTCAAACTCCCATTAAATGGCTAGATACCGTCATCTTCTGTGATGGGTAGTTCGGGTTTTTAGTAGACAAAAGGAAATTTCAATTCTTCGCTTTCTTGACTATATGAATTTTCATTGTGATAATTATCAGAGTTTCGCCAAATGGTTTGATTTTGTCATATAACTTTGAAGGGTAGTTTAGATTTTTGGTGTACGAAAGGAAATTCCACTTCTTTACTTTCTTGACTGTCTGCAGTTTCATGGTGATAATCATAATATTTAACCAATTTGGTTGGACGCCCATGTTTTATTTGTGCCTACTTTGGATTTGTGTAGTTAAACAAATTTGTTCCCCCCCCCCTTTGGTTAGGAAATCTTTTAATTTGGTGCCGTTTTGTTTCATTGTACGTGATTTTTAAAACGGGTTCTAGTTTTTATCTGGGAAGAGCATTGAAGAAATTAAGAGGCATGCAGCTAGAGAAAGAAGAAAGGAAATCGCTGAGCTTTCAAAGGTTCATTGGCAAAGGTATTATGTAAAAGGATTTGTTCAATTTGATTGTCTTCGTTCATGATAATTTGGGTTTATTTATGTCTGTTGGGGGTGTTCGAGTTGGTGTTTTTGTGGATTCGTCTTGATGGTAACAGGTAACCTGTGTGTTTTGTTCTTTTATGAATTTTGTAAACAAATAATTCACCATAAGCTCTGTTATTATCAATCAATTACGTAGGAGGGAGAATTATGTAGTTAACTGCTTACAAAATCTATTGAAGACAATGCTAAATGAACCTGCCACTCGACTATCTTTTCATAGGAAAAAGTTATGTCATAACTATGTTACTTGGACTAGGGTGAGTGTCGGATATGCACACGTCTCATACGACTATGCTCTTTTTCTTTAAATTTTTCCATGTATTTAGAGTGTTCTTAGAGAATCGTATCTATGTGTACATTGCTCAGATACTTGTTAGATACTAGTGTTAAACACAGATATTTAAGAGAAATCAAGAGTGGGAGTCATATTGTCATAGCCTCTATGGTGTAGAAAAATACGGCACCTCATTAAAATTTAAGTTTGTACTCTTAAGTTTTGAACTTTATCTTCTTTTTATTATTTTTATTTCACGAAAAAAAACATCCATGAAACTTATCCAGTGTACTTGGCTCATTATTCTGAGATGGATTCTTTGAACCTATGGCTTAGTTAAGCTCCATTTAGTGCTTTGTGGAAACATTAGCAAACCTGTGTTCATGCCTGTAACAGATTTATTTTTCTTTTCCTTTTTTGTATTTGAGCTCTAAGGTTCCAAGAACATTGTTTCTGTTTGTAATATGTTAAGAGTTTTTTTTATTGATTTCATGTTTGTTTTTCCTTAAAAAATTCTCACTAGGATTCCGTTAGTGGTGTAGGTTAAAAGTTCAAATAGATGATCAAATGAGATAATACAAATATCTCACCATATCATTTCTGTTAAACTTGTGAATCTCACGTGGTGTATGTGTGTGTATATATAGGGCTGTAAAAGAACCGAGCTTGAACAAACAGTTCTTTGTTCATGTTCAGTTATTTGTTTTTAAGTTTTCTCATGTTTGGTTATTTGCAATTATATATGTTCGTGTTCGTTAGTTTAAATTAAATGAACTTTTTCATGGACATTAAACAAACATGTCCATGAACTTAAAGGGAATATGTTTGCAAACAATTTTTTTTTGTTGATAAAAGTAGGAGGCCTCATTAAAAACCTCCCTCATGGTAATCCCTTTCCCGAAGGAAAGAAACGACTAGCGGAAGGAGGAAAAGAGTACCTCAATTTATTAATAAGACAGAATTACATAAGACTTGATTAATACACCGTATACAGCAGCTCTCAAAAAAGCACAAAGAACATCTTATAAAAGTACCCTTACAATCACCCAATCCCCTCCTTCGCTAATTTATCAGCCTCCCAGTTACAACCCCTTGGAATCAACCTAACTATAGACGCCTTAGCTGATACAAGGGACTCAATATCCTTTACTAGAGTACTAAAGAAAGTAGGAGCAGTAGAAGGTGATTGAATCCACTCCACTGCAGATTTGCAGTCACTTTCTGCAATCAGTCTACCCTCAGGAGCCCAAACTGAAGAGAGAAAGATCTCGATGCCTTTTTTAATGTCTTTCAATTCAGCTAATGGTGGATGGCCAGGACCAACACTTTCAGAAAAAGTCACTAGAGTGAAGCAATTCCAGTCTCTTAAAATACCTCCGATTCCCCCGTCAACCCGTCAAATCTTACAGCCCCATCTACATTCATCTTAAAAAAGTCAACTGGAGGGGCAGGCTCATTTAGCATTTCTTCAATAGATTAAAGTTTCAAGATGTAAGATTAAAGTTAAAAGGCACCCCTAAACCCCAAATCAAAAAGAACTAAAGAAGTCATTAATCTTATGGCTGCTCACCCACAGACAATCGCCACCCCAAAGCTTCAAGATGTAAGATTAAAGTTAAAAGACTATTCATTGTTGCAAAACGAAAATACAATTGCTTGGTTGCTTCTTCACCCTTGATTGCTGCTCTTCAACACCTTCACTCACTGGTATTGCGGTCATTAAGACTGCAAAACTTCTTTTCATGAGAAATGCACGCTGTTCATGCTTCTTTGCAAATGATTACCGTTGTTGAAGCGCAATGTTACTCTTCTACCAGCATGTCCGTTTTTCATATTAGTAACCATTTGAAACTTTCTTATTACTGGTATTTCATGGTTCTGCATGCTGCAGCTCTCAGTCTCAACCACAAAACAATGAACAACCCAAATTACAACGTAGCGCTGCAGTGCTGAACGTAAAGCAACAAGGAGCAAAAAGCATGCAAACAGCACAGGCCCTGAATTTTAGCCATCACAGCTTGATGATAGGAACAAAAATGTCGGATGAATTTAAGTTTGGATTCCCATCAGATGGCTTATCAATTGCTACAAACAAATGGTGGGGAAGTAGCAAGTCTGATGGCCATGAAGCCGTAGATGTTGATGGAGCTGAAACCGAGGGAGAAGACAAGCATCAAAGTATAGAAGAACCTGATGATATGGCCAACGACAAACCCGATGAAAATGGAAAATTACAGGACAATGTTAGTCCTCAAGGGTCAGCTCTGCTGGCAGCTGTTAGAAAGAGAGCTTTGGAAGAAGGGCAAGAAGCACTTAAACTTGGTATCCAGAGTGGCCGTGGAATGAAAAAGCCAAGTAGCAGAAAGGCATCGCTGCTACTTCGATTATTCAAATCTTCATCACCGAGTGAGTGGTTTCATGGCCCTTCCTAATTTTATAAAGAACGAGAAGATCCAGATATAAATGATGACGAGTGCAAAGGTAAGACCGAAGAACCAGAAACTGACATCATTGGCTTTCATTTATTTCCGTTTAATATATGTTGAACAACGGTTCATAACTGTTAGAGGTGGCTTCTGCAGCATTACCATGTATGTTGTAATTCAGACACAAACTTAGCTAGTGATTGATTCAATACTTTAGCTATCCTGGGATGCATATAAACATTACTAGAATCGAGTTTGTTCAAGATCGAAGGTTCAGTCCGCAGCACCAATAAGTTTCAGTCTTTTGTTCACATAAGACACTTCATAGGTTGAAGATTGTGTGACTAATTGTGTCCCAAAATAAACTCTAATATACTGTCAATTGATCTTAATTGGTGATTTTAGTTTGTCCAATAGTATGTGAGCAGTTAACAATAAGAAAGTGTTTTGTGTCACACTGCTTTGTTCTTTTGATTTCATATAATAGGATGTGAATGTGTGTAGCTTTGTAACTATTGCATTTAGGGGTGATTAATGAGTTGAGCAACTCATGAGCAGTTCAAACTCGACTCGGTTAAAATTCGGTAAAAGTTTAATTGGAGTTGACTCGATTTAAACACGATCTCGACTCGAGGCCTTAACAAGTTGAGTCGAGCAAAGTCTAACTCGACTCGATTAGTTCATGAGCAATTCATTAATTTTTTTTTTTTAGTAGTTATCTAAAAAATATTTCATTAAAAAACTACTAATTTACTAATAGACACTAAAAAGATGATAAATTGTTAATCTATTAATTTTATAATAAACAACAAAAAGTATTAAATTATTAATTAATATTTTATTGTACTTAAAAATTAAATCATATTTATTATTTTAATATACATGTGGATTGTTACTTTGGAGTTTAGATTTTGAATTTGTTTCATACACTCTTTTGATAATTATTTGATTAAATTTATTAACTTATATTTATATTAAGCTCTATATAGTATTAATAGATTTTACCTATAGTTGATAAAATAAGACGAAAATTTTGGTGAACTTAACGAGTAGCAAACTTAACGTGCACGAATTGAGCACTGGTCAACTCACGATCGACTAGCTCGATATGCATATCCAACCCATGTTAAAGGAGTGTTATTCTCCCCCAAAGATCCTGACTTCGAGCAATTACGTTTGTAGGGTATGTGTACATTGTAAACAATTATGAAAGATTTTGAACAAAATATTATCTTGTAATTACCCATATAACTAAAAAAACTATTCTTTAAAAAATTATATTTAATATATTAATTATATTTTCCCGTTAATATCATCTTAACAAAAAATATAGTCATGATTAAAACGATTAAAATAAACGTAACTCTTATTTTAAAAAAAGGGGGGGAACACTTTGAGGCTGTCATGAAATCTTGATAGTTCCGTTTTCAAAATTTAGAACAAAAGAGATAATTATGTAATTAAAAAACTGACAAATAAGCTTAACTTAGAAGAAAAATGCAACTTATTATTATTATCATCATCACATTCCCCTTTTTGTAATTTAATAAAATAAAAGGGGAGATTTGGAAGGAAAAAAATATTAGATCAATTGAGACAAACTTTATTGAAAAAGTTATGCTTGAAATCAAAGGATGAATTAAGTTCCCCCATTAGGGGCTTGGGAATAGGGTCGGTTTTGACTTTTTCTTGACCCGGGATAAAATTAAAAAAAATGGACCATAATTTAAAAGAATATTAAAAAATATGCAATTTAAAATTTTAATTATTTTTTATTAAATTAAATAAATATTATTTCATTATAATATCAAAAATGTCAAAAACATATTCAAGCATATAAATACTTATAAAAAACATTGCCTTCGAACATTTCTTGATACAAAATCATTGATGAATGTTTTACAACACATTTTTCTCAATATATAACATAGCTAGCCATTCAATCTTTCTTGTGACATTGTTGACCTCAAGTAATTCTTCAATAATTTCAGCTTTGAAAAATTTCTTTTCGCGGATGCTACCGTTACCAACATTGTTAATAAGATTCAATAAGCAATTGAAACATTAGGATAACAATCTCTAGCTTTAACAAACTCAAGAACTTCAAGCTCTGACATGAATACATTTGGCAAAGTCAATTGCAACACTTTATTTTCAGAAAAAAATCATATGCATCATCATCCGACAAATTATTATGAGAAAAAATAATCTTAAAATTATTACAACATTCTTTTAATAAGTCAATAAGAAATAAGTTTATGGGCCTTGCTTTTAATTTAGTTTATTAATATTTATCGGTCCTGCTTTTAATTTAGTATATTAATATAGTTTTTAACGTTATGATGAGAACAATAAGTCAATAAGAAATAAGTTTATGGGCCCTCTTGTATTAATATAAGAAAATGATATATTAATATTTATGAGCCTTATTTGTAATTAAGTTTATTAAAATATAATAAATTAATATAAATTAAAATTATGGGTTCTGGGCGGGCGCCCTCTTACCCCTGCCCAGAGCCGACCCTGCTTGGGAAACTAATCAAATATCAAGACAAAAATTCAGGGATGGGCACGGGTAGCATTTCGGTCAATCTGATCTGACCCAAAAATTTTATATACTTCGTCTTATCTTATTTAAAAATTTTCTATTATCCACTCGACCTGATTTTTTGATATAAAATATGAATTCGACCAGACCCGAACTACTTCGTCTTACTTGATTTAAAATTTTTCTATTATCCACTCGACCTGATTTTTTGAGATAAAATATGAATTCGACCAGACCCGAACTCGACCCGAATCAAGCACAACCTCTAAAAAATCTGATCAAACTCAAACCTGATTTTTTTAAAAAAAACCTCATTTGATCGTGTCAAAACTCGTTGGCTTGAAATCCGTTAGTTCGAGTCTCATGCCCATCTCTAGACAAAATTAAATGTTTAGTCCAAATTTGATTCACATTATTACCCCTGTGAACCATTCCAAAATAAAAATCATTTTATAGTTTTTGTATTATTTGGTCAAAAGTTATAATTACTAATCATTTCATAGTTTTTGTATTATTTGGTCAAAAGTTATAATTACTAATTTGATTTGGTTTGACCTGAGATACAATTAAAAGTGATCTATAACATTTTATTCAGTAAAATACATGTTTAGTAATTAAATTATCAGTTTTGGCCCGTTTTAATAATAAAACTTTTATTTTTTTTTAAATCATACATAAAGTTTAGTTTTTGTTTTATTTTAGTACTTATGTTAAAAATTTAACATTAAATTTTGAAAACAACTGAAAATTTAGGTACTAAAACGGACAAAAATTGATGGTTTATGTACTAAATGCGTTATGTTTTTAAAGATGTGGCACTAAAATGAAATAAAAACTAAACGTTAGGTATGATTTTAAAAAAAATTGAAAGTTTAAGTATTAAAACGGATTAAAATTGATAGTTTAAGTACTCATTGGTTTTCCTTTGCTTTATTATAGCATATATATATATTTTTTTAATTTTCATTTTTAATAATTTTGTTTTTATGGCACGTATTATGACATGTTTTTCTTTGTCTCGTCTTCTTTTCCAATGCTTGATCGTGCGGATTAATTGGAAGTGTTAGTCTATCTTCCTTTAATGTGAGTCTTGTGGTGCAAGTATTAATCTAAGTATGATTTCTTAGTTGAATGCTTGAGGAATGTGACTTCTCCTTCAATCTAAACAATAATTTGGCACTTATATGCAAGGATAGATGAGGGGCGGGTGGGTAGTTGCCTTTTAAAAATTTAAAATTATCATACATTTTATGTTATTTTATATGTCTTTACAATTGAAAATCTGTTTTTACCCTGGAATTTTATAAATTTATCCATTCCTAAAATTCTAAAAATTTACCTTCTAGTATAAAATTATGTGTCTGTCACTACTTATATGTACAATGCATACCAAATTAATTTTGTTATAATTAAAGTATAAAACTAATAAGAATAAATATTGGATTCATTTAAAAAAAAAATAAAATCCAAAGTAAATTTAAAAAAGTATCCCAATTTATAATATTCATATTTACAAAACATGGTATAGAATCCATGATAAATGTAATGTTTCTTTTATGTGATAAAATGTAGTTTAAAGTAAAGTGGAGTTGTTTATGGATGAAAGGGTTGAATCATACCCCAAACCCATTTTTATGAGAGATTAAGATATTCTAACTTCTTGAAAATGAAATTTAAGAATTAATTCATTGAGAACAAAAATGACAGTTTTGCAAACCTAGATTTTAGCAGCACTTGGATTTGTGTTTGACCCTTTTTTTCCTTTTAATTTTTTATTATTTCAATACTTATTTTTTTGTCCTCTGGGTCTAAGGTTTTGGTTTGACTAATCTTTATCGATTCGGATAGTATTTTTGACTTTGGTGAGGGAGTCTCATAACAGAGATTTTCTGCATGCACAAGAACTCGAACCAGAGACAAGTTATTTACCACTTAAAAAAAAGAAAGATAAAAAATATTTTAACTTCAATATTTAATTCAATTAGATTTTTATTGCATATAAGTAGGGTTTGTGTATACGATATTATTTTATAATCGTCTTGGATTAATAAAAAATAATTTTTTATTAATCTGGTATATGTATAAAAATCATCTATTTAAATATAACTCTCAACTTTGACACTCGTACTCAAAATTAAATACGAAATTTTAATAAATAATAATAATTCTTTTATAAATGAAGTTATTCAATTCAAGTTTTCTTAAATACAGGGGCCAGCTCACTTCCATGAGTTCACCTCATTTTTGCTTTTCCTTGACTATTTTTCACTATCTGAATTTCTCCATTGCAAACTAAGCTTCCTTTCCAGCTTTCTTAGAGGTCTCTCTCTTCACCTCAAAGACCCACCAACCATTTTACCCACCCCACCCCACCCCACCCCATCCCTTTTTTTTTCATTATATATTTAGGCTTTTCTTTTCGGATGGCAAAAAAAAAACTTGTCGGAAAAAATTAAAAATTGAATTAAACGAGTTAGGTTCGAGGATGATAAATGGGGACGGGGACGGGGACGGAGAAAAACCGAATGTTTTAAACGGGGACGAGTTTTGTAAACTCCGCCCCGATTACCCAAATACCCGACCCGATAAATATTAAAAATAATAATTATATATATAATATTAATAAATTTAATTTAAATTAAAATAAAAAATATATATAATATTTATATATTTAATTTAAATATATATACCCGACTCGATATCCATTTAAATAATCGTTTATATTAAACGGGAATACCCGTTTCCCC